GAGGTATTATGTATTATATTGTACACCATACACAGATGAGGTATTATGTATTATATTGTACACCATACACAGATGAGGTATTATGTATTATATTGTACACCATACACAGATGAGGTATTATGTATTATATTATATTGTACACCATACACAGATGAGGTATTATATATTTATATCATATTGTACACCATACACAAATGAGGTATTATGTATTATATTGTACACCATAAACAGATGAGGTATTATGTATTATATTATATTGTACACCATACACAGATGAGGTATTATGTATTATATTGTACACCATACACAGATGGGGTATTATATATTTATATTATATTTTACACCATACACAGATGAGGTATTATGTATTATATCATATTGTACACCATACACAGATGAGGTATTATGTATTTATATTATATTGTACACCATACACAGATGAGGTATTATATATTTATATTTTATTGTACACCATACACACATGAGGTATTATATATTATATTTTACACCATACACAGATGAGGTCCTATTTATGTATATTATATTTTACACCATACATATTTATCCTTGAATAAGTGCAACAAATTACTGACCCAAGATAATAACAAATTTTGTTGCTCGTTTATGTCCAAAGCAAATATTAATAAAACTGATCTAATTTCTTACCTCTACACATAGGCAGCTGACCAGTCCACTGAACTCCATGCTGGTCACCCTCACAAATAACGCCATAGTTTCCGATGAGCTGGTAACTTCTCTGACAAGCAAACTTACAGACACTGCCCCACCTTGACCCACCAGTACACATCATATACCCATTATTTGGGGCCTTCAGAGGGGGACATTTCTGGACTATGGATAATCAGCCGTGTTAAATGGACACAAATTCTTGAAACGATAAAATGATAAGATATTTACACATAAAGACGTACGACAGTACTAGATAAAATAACGTTTGGTTTGTAACGTATTTCAAAACCCTGGCAAGGCCTGCTGGTTGGAGCGCTCGACTCGCAACCTGCGGGTCGCAGGATAGAAACCTGCTGTCGAAAACGTTTGTATTTTAAGCCTCAGAGGTGCCTAATGTTACAGTAGCCGAAGAGTTGATGGTTAATATTAGGGAAAGTGGCAGATAGCCTTAGCAGCCTTGCAATAAAAGAAAACAACAACAAACAAAGAAAATAGAGAAAAATGCTCTGAAGTCTCTAGAGTTAGTGTTAGTTCTCAGAGATAACAAGTTCCAAATGCCACGTCCGAACCAAGTCGTTGTGTTTGTTTGAGCCGTTAATAATAAAAGTTATTATGTTGATTTAGCTGTTAATAGAACCAAGCCATTGTATTATATTCGGCTGTTAATAGAACCAAGTCGTTGTATTGGTTTTGACTGTTAGTAGGACCAAGTTGTTGTATTAGTTTTGGCTGTTAATAGAACCAAGTCATTGCATTATATTCGGCTGTTAATAGAACCAAGTCGTTGTGTTAGTTTTGGCTGTTAGTAAGACCAAGTCGTTGTGTTGGTTTTGAACTCTTAGTAGGACCAGGTCGTTGTGTTAGTTTTGACTGTTAATAGAACCAAGTCATTGCATTATATACGGCTGTTAATAGAACCAAGTCGTTGTGTTAGTTTTGGCTGTTAGTACGACCAAGTCGTTGTGTTGGTTTTGAACTCTTAGTAGGACCAGGTCGTTGTGTTAGTTTTGACTGTTAATAGAACCAAGTCATTGTATTATATTCGGCTGTTAATAGAACCAAGTCATTGTATTATATTCGGCTGTTAATAGAACCAAGTCATTGTATTAGTTTTGGCTGTTAGTAAGACCAAGTTGTTGTATTAGTTTTGACTGTTAATAGAACCAAGTCGTTGTGTTAGTTTTGACTGTTAATAGAACCAAGTCGTTGTGTTAGTTTTGAACTCTTAGTAGGACCAAGTCGTTGTGTTATTTTGACTGTTAATAGAACCAAGTCGTTGTGTTGGTTTTGAACTCTTAGTAGGACCAAGTCGTTGTGTTGATTTTGGCTGTTAATAAGACCAAGTCATTGTGTTATATTCGGCTGTTAATAGAACCAAGTCGTTGTGTTGGTTTTGACTGTTAGTAGGACCAAGTTGTTGTATTAGTTTTGGCTGTTAATAAGACCAAGTCGTTGTGTTGGTTTTGACTGTACTAGAACCAAGTAGTTGTGATGATTTTGGCTGTTAATAAGACCAAGTCGTTGTGTTAGATTTAGCTGCTAATAACATCAACCCGATGTTCTAGTCTTGGCTCTTAATAGGACAAAGTCATTGTATTTGTTTTTGATGTGATTAAGACCAAGTCACTGTGTTTGTTTTGGATCTGATTAGGACTAAGTTATTGTGCTTATTTTGGATCTGATTAGGACCAAGTCATTCATTGTGTTTGTTTTGGATCTGATTAGGACCAAGTCATTCGTTGTGTTTGTTTTTGGATCTGATTAGGACCAAGTCATTCATTGTGTTTGTTTTTGATCTGATTAGGACCAAGTCATTCATTGTGTTTGTTTTTGATCTGATTAGGACCAAGTCATTCATTGTGTTTGTTTTTGATCTGATTAGAACCAAGTCATTCATTGTGTTTGTTTTTGATCTGATTAGGACCAAGTCATTCATTGTGTTTGTTTTCGATCTGATTAGGACCAAGTCATTCATTGTGTTTGTTTTTGATCTGATTAGGACCAAGTCATTCATTGTGTTTGTTTTCGATCTGATTAGGACCAAGTCATTCATTATGTTTGTTTTGATCTGATTAGGACCAAGTCATTCCTTGTGTTTGTTTTTGATCTGATTAGGACCAAGTCATTCATTATGTTTGTTTTGGATCTGATTAGGACCAAGTCATTCATTATGTTTGTTTTGGATCTGATTAGGACTAAGTTATTGTATTTATTTCCAACATTAACACAAGTGTATCACATTCTTATAGAACATGATCGACCCACCTTTCACTTTTAGCCGAAACTGGCAGGTTTGAAGTTTAACTCCAAACTTTTCGACATGAAGCTGTATAAAATATTCACCTTCAGCCACCTCGGTCCCTGGCTTAGGACCGACAGTTACAACAATGTTTGCTGACGTAGGGGAACTAGTCAACCTACAGACGAAGATATGGTAAACAATATCAGTTTCATCGTTTGTACTGAAAAAGAATGTTAGTAACAAACACGAAGAACCACAAAAACACATAAAACAATCCGGAATATTGTATGAGATACTTGTATTTTGTTACAAAATTGTATTTTACATAAGGAACAAACTAACATTCTATTACCCTTAACGATCTTTACCTAAATAACTTACAATCTAACATTATATTACCCTTAACAATAGCCCCCCAGTGGCATAGCATCATGTCTGCGGACTTACAACGCCAGAAATCGGGTTTCGATACTCGTGGTGATCAGAGCACAGATAACCCATTGTGTAGCTTTGTGCTTAATTACAAACAAATCCGTAATGATCTTTACCTAAATAACTTACAATCTAACATTATATTACTCTTAACGATATTTATCTAAATAACTTACAATCTAACATTCTATTACCCTTAACGATCTTTATCTAAATAACTTACAATCTAACATTCTATTACCCTTAACGATATTTACCTAAATAACTTACAATCTAACATTCAATTACCCTTAACGATCTTTACCTAAATAACTTGCAATCTAACATTCTATTACCCTTAACGATATTTATCTAAATAACTTACAATCTAACATTCTATTACCCTTAACGATTTTTATCTAAATAACTTACAATCTAACATTCCATTACCCTTAACGATCTTTATCTAAATAACTTACAATCTAACATTCCATTACCCTTAACGATCTTTATCTAAATAACTTACAATCTAGCATTCCATTACCCTTAACGATCTTTACCTAAATAACTTACAATCTAACATTCCATTACCCTTAACGATCTTTATCTAAATAACTTACAATCTAACATTCTATTACCCTTAACTATCTTTACCT